CACGAGAAGAGGTAGAGGGCGGCCTAAGAAGTATTGGGGAGAGGTGATCAGACAGGATATGGCGAGACTCCAGATTTCCGAGGACATGACACTAGATAGGAAGATGTGGAAGTCGAGTATTAGGGTTGTAGGTTAGGAGGTACTTGAGTCGTGCCTTACTTCGTACCATTGTGGGACTAGCCATGTAAGGTTTTTGTCTAAGATAGCTAGTGGCAATGTTGTGGCTTACTATTTCGCTTTTCAGTGCATGTACTATTTATTAGCTATCGCTTTTTCTTTGCATCTTTCTTCTAGATTTCATGGTGTTCCTATTGTTCTTATGATTGTTGTGGTGATACTAATATTTACTAATATTGTCTCCCTTTGCTTTGCATCCTTCTTCTGGATTTTATGATATTTTTATTTATCATATGATTGTTGTTGTGATACTAATATTGTCTCATTTTTGTCCTTTTGTTTTTTTATTTTTTTTGAGCCGAGGGTCTTTCGGAAACAGCCTCTCTACTCCTTCGGGGTAGGGGTAAGGCCTGCGTACACACTACCCTCCCCAAACCCCATTAGTGAAATTTTACTGGGTTGATGTTGTTGTTGTTGTTTCTTGTTTTATGCATCCTTCATTTCTTACCTAAATTTATTTGAAAGAAGGAATACCCTTTCAAGTATTTGTAGAGCATGAGGTTTAATGTTTTTCAAGAAATTAGGGAATAAAGAAATAGGACATGTGTGTAGCTATCTTCTTTAACAATTTAGGTATCTCTTTTCAACAATCTTCAAAATTTAGATCTATTAAAACCCTAATCTTTTATATCGATTTAGGAGCAGAAATCCTAGTTTTTATCTCAATTTTCGAACGGAAGCAAGAATAGACAATGCAATAGAGGTTAGAACCAAGATTAATGGAGAAAATCGCTAGTGAGAGATTAGTGTAGCCATTCTCCGATGAGAGCAAAGAGCAAATGAGTTTTTTACAATTGACCCACTAGCTTTAACCCTAGCTCCCGTTTTTTTATTTTTACCATATAATTTTTTATAATGATATAATAAAGAATATTAAAATCTTAATTAAGACTGTTTTTTAGATTCAGTTAAACAAATATTCACGTAGGTTGCCATATGGCAGATTTTAAAAATAATTTGTAGAGTGTATTACACACACTAGAAAGAATGCGATGAGGGGGTTTTATTATGAAGGGGATATAGTTCGGGAGGTTTTCGGGGACAAGTGATAGTTTAGGTAGGCAACTGACAAAGGTTGTTGTAAAGTTCTTAGATGTTGCCTCCTATTGCACAAATTTAACACCTAGGAAATAGATTTCACTTGTATTCATCAAATGATCAAGTTGTCAATACATCTCATTTCTTATTCTCTCACTTTGACACCAAAATTTTCTGCAAAAGCTGATGTATAATTCAAATAATACAACAGGACTATACAGGTAACCTATGAGTTGCACAAACATGATCATGCTGAGAAAAGAGAAACAAAAGAAGAAAATCAAGAATTACAGCATTCCCGGGGCAGAGAGTTTTATAAGGTTTCCAACACTGAGAAGAATTCTCAGTCTGATGCAATTTAGAGCAATACAGGAGCTTACGAGGAAGCAACTGATCCAGTCTCGAGGGGCTCGCTGATTTCAAGAAGCTCATTACAAAGACCAGTAAAAACAACAGAATCTGTTTCGATAGGTTTAAATTTGAGTAGAGCTGCAGGAACCAAAACCTCCTCTTCAAGTGTTACGGCCCTCTCCCCAGCAGCTGGAAAATGGGGAATCACCCGCTTTTTAACAAGCACCGGATGTAACAATTCGAACTCTAAGCTTGGTTCCTTTAACGCTGAGCTCACAAACTAGAAAATAAAAGATGAACAGAATATGAGGAAGAAAAATCTAAGAGAAAACATAAAATAAAAACACATGTATACATGCTGACAAATATATAGCAAGTGTAGACACCAGATTACCAATAAATCATCACATGGAACAATAGATATGAAAAGAGTAACCCACAATAAATCTGGAAGTATGCTCAGGAGACAAAGCGTTTCCAGCTTATTCGACATTTAATTTTCTATTCACATGAGATAAAACATGGAATTTCTGCTATAGTAATATAGTTGACCTTTATTTTATTTTTTCCTTACCATTTTCCTTTTTATATTCTGTTGGTGAATCCATAGCATCTCTTTATCCTATTTCTATTAGCGTAACCAAATGAAAAAGCGCCCTGTACGAACTTCATTGGCGACACCACAATGATTAATGGAATTTCAAATCTAACTACACAAATGGTCCGCACAATACGAGCAGGGATCTTCCTTGTAAAGATTAACTCGTCCCCCATGCCCCACCCTCCTCCTAATTCTTTACAAATAAAATTTTCTCATCCCTTTCTGTCCTTTCTATCTTAATGTTATTGCAAGAAAGTATTTTGCATTCAGAAAGAAACTGAATTGACTCCCAACACCCCTTACCTTGAACTTTTCAAGTTTTTTAATAATACCATTGTACCTTGTACGGGATATTTTAAGAACTTAAAGCTTATTTATATCGTGTTCTTCTTGGTATATGCTAATCATGAGCCATAATCCTTTGACATACTCAACTGAGGACAATGAGAGACCGAGTGAGCGAGAGAGAGAGAGAGCCAAATGGTACAAGATTTAGGTTATGAGCCAACCACTCAAGGAGTTAAAGAGATATCAATCGATCGATCGGAAGAGGGGGGGGGGGGGATGAAGAA